ACAAAGCAGAAAGCATAAAATATCCTATTTTTTTGATTTTTTTTATATTGCACAAGATTTACATTTTATACAAACAATGTCAACACGATTGACTCATATTCAAAATATTAATTTTTTGGATTTGAAAATTTTCTATTATTAAAAATATGGGTGGTGCTAAACTTATGGCGGAGTGTATACATCCCAGTAAATGCGATATAACATAGCTTGCATTTCCTATTATGATGTTCTTGAAAGGGGTTGCTGCTTACAAGGAAGCTATTGAACCAAGGGTTCCAAGTGGTAAGTTGAAGTCATCCCCTCGACAGATTTATGCCCGCCACAACGATTTGGTTGAAAGTTACAGGATTTCGGGGCCACAGATTATCACAGATATGCTCCAACTGTCGTAACCGCTATCCCGTCCTCTTTTTCGATTGTGACACCACTGTTCAAATGAGACTGATCATCGAATAAATACTAACCGTGAGCAATACGACGGTTGCAACTTACGGAGCAGGAAATGTTACCCTTCCAGAGCACCTGAAATCACCCCCAGTTTTTTTTTCTGTCTTGGTGGGGTTCTTGTTGCTCAGTTTTTAGTTTTCTATGTAGTTTTTTTTTAACTTGTTCATATTTTCATCGTCTTTCGTTTTTGTCATGGCATTGTTAGTTTCTACCCACTTATGTGTTTTGAATTGTCCCCTTGGTATCTTTAGCCTCTATTTTGTATAGGATGACGTAGAAACAGGCGGTTTAAGGGTCAATGATAATCAATTAACTTTTCTTTAAATAGCATATTGATCCATTCAGAAAGTGATCATGATCAAATTATAGAGCAAAAGAGTTGTGATCATTCATGTGTGTATTTTATCTTATTTCAGGGTCTCTATTTCCATAAACTGACACCATGATATTTTAGCAGGTAACGAAATGCTTGGTAAACTAAAAAATCGGACAGGTATTTAGAAAGACAAATATGCTAGATATACTTACTTGAGGTGTGATGAAATGAATAACATTTATGGACGTTTCGGCAATAAAGTTTATCGATAGGTCATACGTGCGAAAATGTACTATGAGGACCAAATGTGCCCCTTTGATATCAGACTTGTTTCTGTACTGTAATGAACCGCAGTTCGTGGCCGAACTCAGTAAAGACCCGTCCAAATTCCATTCACTTGATGAATTCAACAACACTTACCGTTATCTTGGTGACATTTTTCGTTAAATAATCAAGAATTCTCTAAACATACTGCCAAAATAAAATAAACTGCTTCGCTGAGCGCATCTGGATACGCCCGCAGAGGTCCAACCCTGAACAGTTAGGGCAAAAATGGATACAATATTCAAGCTTGATACAGGTCTGAATTTGGATTGTAATTAAATATTTGAAATATTATAGGTTTCTGAATAAATGTAGCCAAAGAACTTGAAATTGGTTATATGAATTGAATTAATATTCAATTAAAGATTGCTTGCTGTTGTGCAATACTTAGTAAATCGGTTGTCAGACTAAAAACAAATAAAGTTCAATTTCTTCTCAATGTCATATTTGAAATTTATGAAAATCAATAGGGAGATTACATCAATAGCTTTAAATAATTCACCAAAGTTTCATGAGAACTGCTGAAAGCATTTTTGAGTTATTGTCCAATAAACTGCTTCGCTGAGCGCAGCTGGATACGCCCGCAGAGGTCCAACCCTGAACAGTTGGGGCAAAAATGGACACAATATTCAAGCTTGATACAGGTCTGAATTTGGATTGTAATTAAATATTTGATATATTATAGGTTTCTGAATAAATGTAGTCAAAGAACTTGAAATTGGTTATATGAAAGATTTCTTGCTGTTGTGCAATACACTGTGCTGTTGCGTAATACTTAGTAAATCTGTTGTCAGACTATAAACAAATAAAATCTTATAACTCGGAAACATAAAATCGAAAATTTATAACAATCAAAAGGAAGCTTACAAAAATAGATATAAACAATTTACCAAAGTTTCATAACAAATGCTAAGCATTTTTGAGTTATTGTCCGAAAACTGGAAAATCCCCCTTTTTGTAATGAATAAAACCCCATAAATCGGAAACGTATAGTCTGAAATTTATAAAAATCAAAAGGGAGCTCATGTCGATAGAAATAAACAATTCACCAAAGTTTCTTGCAAATTGGTGAAATTATTTTTGAGTTATTGTCTGAAAACTAGTCCCCCCTTTTTTTATTGAATAAAACCCCAAAACTCGGAAACGGTAAATCAGAAATTTATAAAAAACGAAAGGGAGCTCACGTCAATAGATAAGAACAATTCACAAATGTTTCTTGCAAATTGGTGAAATATTTTTTTAGTTATTGTCCCAAAACTGGAAAATCCCCCCTTTTTTAATGAATAAAACCCCAAAACTCGGAAACAGTAAATCCTAAATTTATAAAAAACGAAAGGGAGCTCATGTCAATAGATATGAACAATTCACAAAAGTTTCATGCAAATTGGTGATATTGGTTTTGAGTTATTGTCCGAAAACTGGAAAATCCCCCCTTTTTTAATGAATAAAACCCCAAAACTCGGAAATGGTTAATCTGAAATTTATAAAAAACGAAAGGAAGTTGATTCCATTAAAATATCTCAGTGTGGTTGGTATTAATTGGTTGATTTTTAAGATGAATTTTGAAAAGAATAAAATTCTAGAATATATAAAACACATCCCTGAATTTTATAGAGAAGTATTTAAATGTTGGGTAATATCAGGCGGTGGACAGACAAAAAAACCTACCAACTTCACAGAAATAAGAAAACAGGTAATTTGGGGGAACAAACTGATTAATTTTGAAAATAAAACCATTATTTTTGAAAATTGGATTAAGAGTAACTTGATATTTGTCAATGATATTATAGATGACACTGGTAATATATCTCAACATTTTATTCTGCAAAAATTAGACTGCAAGAATAATTGGATTGCAGAAATAAATATTTTAAAAAAAGCCATCCCAAAAGACTGGCTTCAGATGTTAAAGTCTGAAAATTCTATTAAAAATATTGTTAATATTCCTAGACAGAAACTGATCTGGAAAGGAAATTACATTGAGGCTTCAAGCTTTTCAACAAATATATTATATAAGTCAATTTGTAAAGATAAAATTGAACCATCAATTGGTGTTAGCAAATGGATGCGTATTTTACAAATTAATGAGAACCTTAGTATTAACCAACTATATGTTTTCATGTTTCATTATTTAGAAGAGAATAAGTTAAAAATATATAGATGGAAACTTTTACAATTCATATTACCAACAAACACTTATTGTTTAAATGGAAACAGAAGAATGACGGTCTATGTAATGTATGTAACGAAGAAGAAGATTATAACCACTTTTTTATTTCTTGTCGATTTTTAGAAAAATTTAGGAAAAGTATTTATGAGTTAATGATAAAATCAAATTTAAATTTTAGAATATCGTTAAAGCAATTAGTCTTCGGATATAAAATTTTTGACAAAAATTATTTTGGTCTGAATTATTTCCTAACAATTTTAGGTTTTTCTATTTATAAATCATATTATGTATCTAATCAGAAATTGACAAATGTAAATGTTTATCAAATTTTTGTTCAAGAATACATTAAAAGATATAACGAAAACAGAACAATGAAATTTAATCCATTACTGAAGTCACTAAAAAGAAGTTTAGACGATTGAATAGAATAAAACATAATGAATTAAAATGTTGTAAAATTGTATTTCAAGAAATTTATACATATTATTATAATATATACATATATACCAGCAGCTGATTACTAACCTGGGTAATCAGTGGAATATAACAGGATACATCAAGAAAAGCTTGGTTTCTTGGTGTAACAATGTAACAAGCATATTTGGTGAATAAATATATAATGTCGTTAAAAAAAAACAAAAAAAACGAAAGGGACCTCACGTCAATAGATATAAAAAATTCACTAAAGTTTCATGTATATTGGTTAAAGCGTTTTTGAATTAATGTCCGACATATTGACGACGGACGGACAGACGGACGGACAGACGGTCAACGGTATACCATAATACGTCCCGTAAACGGGCGTATAAAAACTGGAAAATCCTCCCTTTTTTAATGAATAAAACCCCATAACTCGGAAATGTATAATCTAAAATTTATAAAATTCTAAAGGGAGCTTACATCAACAGATATTAACAATTCACCAAAGTTTCATAAAAACTGCTGAAAGCATTTTTTAGTTATTGTCCGAAAACTGGAAAATCTCCCTTTTTTATGAATAAAACCCTGTAACTCGGAAACGTAAAATCTAAAATTTATAAAAATCGAAAGGGAGCTCATGTCAATAGATATAAACAATTCACAAAAATTCCTTGCAAGTTGGTGAAAGCATTCTTGAGTAATTGCTGGAAAATCCCCCCCCCCCCCCCTTTAATGAATAAAACCCCAAAACTCGGAAACGGTAAATCTGAAATTTATAAAAAAAAAACGAAAGGGAGCTCACGTCAATAGATATAAACAATTCACCAAAGTTTCATGCATATTGGTTAAAGCTTTTTTGAGTTAATGTCCGACATGTTGACGACGGACGGACGGACAAACGGACGGACAGACGGTCAACGGTATACCATAATACGTCCCGTAAACGGGCGTATAATTAAATAAATCAAATATAAACAGCAATAACTGTCCTTTCCTAAATTAAGATATTTCAGTTACACGGGAAACTCTACACTCTGTCGTTTCTTTGCTGTTTATATATATTTGTGTTTCATTTTTTGTTTAGTTCATAAATTCTCATTTGAGTTGTTTTTCATGTGTAGGCCTTTTAAAGCTTGCTGTGCGGTATGGGTTTTGCTCATTTTTACGTACGGTACCTATAGTTCTATGTCATTTGATCTCTGGTGGAGAATTGTTTCGTTGGAAATCCTGCCACGTCTTCTTTTTTTATATCAGGTGAATCTATACTAGTTTACTAGTTTACAGATGCATACACTAACTACATTCAGCAACAGCAATATGCATTTAATCAAACATAACACTGTATAAAAAAGCAATTCCGTTGTATTTGTTGCACACCAGTAGTATGTTCGTTTCCTTGTTGTAATATAGGCGTGAGGGTTTGTCTAGTCCGTCTGCTTTGGTAAGTAATGTTTTGTTGATTTTCCCATCATCTTGCAATATCATAAGGTTATCAGATAGTATACCCACAACAAACACATTTTCTGCACTGTCAGTGACAATGCCGCCCGGTGAATTAAGTGATGTATCCTTAAAATTCCATATATTGTTTCCAGTTGTAGTACAACATTTAACAGTACTTGTAAAAGGCACTGTGTAGTAGATTCTATCTTCGATCGTCGTGATATTACGCACAGACATGTCACACTGGATTGTATCAAGTGTAGTTCCTTCCATATCCAACACCACGATTCCTTCACGGAGCACTACAACATAAATCTTTCCATCACTGTATGATATCCCCCGACAGTTGTTTTTAAATGTCACTGTTTTTAGAACGGTCATTTTCGTAAAATCTATAACTTCGATGTATTTCAGAGTGTTATAAGAAACAGCTATTTGATCAGTTTCTATTACTGTCAGATTCCATGGCTTTCCAGAGACGGGTATATCACGGATAAAAAGTCCGAATTCATTATACTCCATAAGTACGTTCTTCCCAGCGTTGTCAGCAAACAATAAGTTACCATTTGCCAATATTGCACATCCTATAATATCAATTTTCTTTCCTTTTTGCTCAAATGTGATCTTCTCTCGCAGCTTTAGCTTTGTATTATGAACAGATCTTGTAGTTGGTACTTGCTGTCTTGTTGGTACTTGTATTTGGGCTTGATCGATTTTTGAATCCTTAAATGGACAGTTGATGGTACTTTCGTCGACTTTTACTCTAGCAAAGTAGTCGACATCTTTCAACAGTGAAGTAATACCCTGGTGTATCTCTATTTCTATGTTGTAATTCATAACAGAAGATAAGGTTTTTGTTATGGACTTTACCTCGTCGTGTATTTCTTTATTCATCTGATGTGTACTTAAAAATACCTGTATGTCGGGAGCAAAACGTTTCAGTTGAGATGTTTGTTCATGGAGGCGTTTGATTTCTTTTTCCATTTCATTTAGCTTGTTCTGTATTGACCCATAGTTTGATTTACAAGAAGTATATATTGTTGTCAACTCATTTAATAATTTTCTTTCCAGATCATCTAAATGTTTATTTATAGTTTCCCTCGTATCAAAAATACGCTTCTTGATGATTTTTTCTTGTATTTCGATTTTTTCTGTTGCAGCCTCACGATCATTAACACATTCTTGTATGTTTACTAATGTTTCGTAAATTGTATGTTCCAAGTCCGTCAGAGCAGTTGATGTCTTTGCATTTTTAGCTGCTTCTGCAAGAGATATTATGGCGTCGGAGCAATCTTTATGCTTTGTTGGAAAGCATGCAATACAAATAGCCTTTTCATGTATTTTGCAATACATCTCCAGTTTGGACCCGTGCTTCTCGCATTGAACACAAACATTCACATTTTCAATTTTACGGTAGTCTTCGATTAGGATCAAATTGTGGTCTCTCGACATTCTCATTGACTTATGTGCCTTTTCACATACATTACAAAACCCTTCGTTGCAATCCGTGCACCATTTCTCTGCATTCTGCGTGTTCCCTTCGTGACCACAAGGTCCACATGGAATGAATGAAGCCATATATCTCAACACATCTGGTTATGAAAAAAGAATACTTTGAAAACTATAAATAACTAAATATTTCATACGATTAAGTTTATGTATCGCCATATAACAATGAAAAAAAACTATGAGATGTTTTATGATTGCATTTAGAACAACAGTTGTCAAAAATACCACAGGATAAGAGAATGTTTAGACTCTAGTTGGGCCTTCTATTACCAGATAGCAGACACACAAAAAAAAATAGGGAAGTAGAATACAAAACTTGGAGTAATGATATTAATATTGTAAAATTAGAAACAAAATATTATTAAAAAGGGTTATTTAATATTATTTCCTATATAAATGAAAAAGAAAAGCTATGAAAAATATACTTACCAACAAATAATCACCTTTGAATACACCCGTTTCACAGTGTCATTCTATTGCGTCATTTTAATACTGACAAATACCAAAACTGTCACGTGGTATCAGATACAGTGTTTCAAGCGCGTATATTTAAAAAACGTAAACAAGCTTTATGTACCAACATCATTACTTCACACAAAATAGGGAACTTAAATTCAAAAGTTGGTAATTATGCAAATTTTAATAAGAGGTGTATTAGTAAGGAATACCAGATACATGATAATTTCTAAAAAAATTAATGCGCATCCAAATAATCAGCCATCGATAGGAGATTCTGGGGTAGTTATTGTTTCAACCAGAGACATATATGTGTATATGTTTCAACGTGGATACTGGAAAGGTTGTATCACATGACATTTTTTATGCATTCACCTAGTTTTTCATAGAGGCAAATTAATACGATCATCCAGGGCTTGTATTTCCTATCGTGATTTTCGTCGTCCCCTTTTCCACGAATGTGACCTACCGAATTAGATTTATTGCCGGGTTTGTACTAACATGATCAACACGACGGATGACACATGTGGAGCAGGATCTGCTTACCCTTCTGGAGCACCTGAGATCACCCCCAGTTTTTGGTGGGGTTCGTGTTGCTCAGTCTAGTTTTCTATGTTGTGTTTTGTGTACTATTGTTTGTCTGTTAGTCTTTTTCTTTTTTAGCCATGGCGTTGTCAGTTTATTTTCGACTTATGAGTTTGAATGTCCCTTTGGTATCTTTCGTCTCTCTTTTTCATACAATTCAGTATACAATCTGCATCGGAACTGTAAGTTGCTCTACACAATATATATATTTTTCTAATTTCAAAGAAAGAATAATTAGATACTAGTATATATAACCTTTAACTCAAATGGGAAGTATATTCAATGAATGTTAATGATATTTTAGCAGATGTAAATTCAGACATATCTTTTTTTGGTTTGATCCGCTCTTCAAAATTTGTATTACATTTTGGATACTCAAATATTTTGGCCTCGAGCATCACTGTAGAAACAAAAATGCGCATCTGGTGCATTAAAATTGGTACCGTCTTATGTTATTCTAAAATAAAAATTGCTTCGAAAACTGTAAGAATAATCTCTAGCTTCAAAATACAATGCAAATTCAGGGTAAAATGTGAAGAATGAAAATCAGCTACAAATACCATACACTTTTATTTTGTCCTGTTAATAAAGAATAAACATAGTTCAGTCGGGTTTTATTGTGATCTTTTTTATAATTGTGATTATAAACTATTCAGTTTTGCACTCCAGGAGAGTACAACAATTGTTCATATAGTATCTTTGTGTGGCCTATTTCAATCAAGAAGTTTTATAATTGAAATTAATGACACGTAATTGTTTGCTTAAGAAATAGTTATGGAAAAGAAACACTTATAAGTAGGAAATATTTTGCTGCAATTATATTATGTATGCCAGCAAGAAAAACATATATTTCTGTATGGCCTTTTTTTGTCTATTTTCCAATTCACATATTTAATTAGGCAAACAGAACAATACGTTCTTTTTTGGAAAAATCTAAACAATATATCAGCTTTAGTTTTAAAATCTTTAAATGTAACCATTGATTCTTCATAAACGAAAACTAGCTTTGAAATCAAACAGGGAAAATCCCAATTCTAAAAACTAAGTAAATTGCCATCCATTGCCATCCATTAAGGCAGATTTTGATAGATTTGTGAAGGAATCGAATAAGAATTTCCCAGTGACATTATATACGTTTGCTCTATTTAACAAATATTGTAATCGTTTTTTTTTTATTTAAATTTATCAGGAAAACTCAAACCCAAACATTTAAAATCCAGGGATGTATAGAAACGTAACGTGAGGGTACCCAAATTGCACCTATTTTGACAGTTTTTTCATCTACGTTTATTTATGATCCAGACAAAAATTCCATTCTTGGTTAATTTTATAGATGTATCCTTATTTACTATATAGTTCCACCAATTTGATTTTGAATCCATATTGAATCATAGATAAATGGGTTTGAACCAACCTCCAAACGATCCATGATTCTGTAATGAGGAGTACCCAGATTGCATCCATGCTTAAATTCCCAGCCTTAAAAATCGTATAACAGATGTTTTCTTTTATTTCTTCAAATATTTAGAACAATATGACATTAGTCCATGCTTACTATTCATTTTTTAAGAAATGGAGGCTTGTTACATATTTTATTTGCTCATTTTTAAAAGATGACTTTTTGTGGACGTCGCATGGCGACGTTTCCATAGATTTTATTTTTTCCCGTGAATACTTCGTCTGTCGATATATACTGTGAAAGTTTTGTGCATATCTTCATATAATTAGCTATGTTGAAAGACGTGCATAATGTCAAACCATAAAAATACAAATTGTTTAGTCTCTAAAAAAAACTTGTAAAATTTCCGCTGCTTTTTTTGCTAAATAGGTGCAATTTGGGTACTGTGATGTTAGACACGTTAAGGGCTAGATGATGAAAAAAGACCTTAAATGGATTTAAAAACCGCACTGAAGCAAAATATTTGGATAATTCTATTGATGTCTCGGTCCATACGATTAGTATTTTATGTAGTTCAATTTCTTGACTTACAACTAGGAACCATTTCTATGAAAATAGACAAATAGAAATGCTATTTATCAACTTCTCAGTATAATGATAAGAAGATGTGGTAAGAGTATTGTTATCATTTTAAGTGTTTTAAAAATTTTCAAATGCAGAATGTCCATTTACAATTTGAACACGAAGAAAAAAATAATGAATGAAAACATAATCCTCTGGAATAAAAAAAACGTGATCATCCATCTGTTTTAACAAAGTTAGTACTACCACTCGGTCGATACCACTGCTGTTTGACTCTTTATAGTCCCAGCGGGTATCACCAGCCCAGTAGCCAGTACTTCGGTACTGGCGTGGAAATACGTATATTGTGTTATTGAAATTTGCTATTGCAAAAGTTTGGAAATTATTTTGAATTCAGGATTATACCTCTCTCGTGTAAATAAACTCATCATAGATACATAAATACCAGGATTATTTTTTTTTGTACGCCAGACGTTCGTTTCGTCTACACAAGACTGAACTGTGACGATCGAATAAAAAAGTTTAAAAGGCCAAATAGAATACCAAGTTGAAGGGCATTGAGGACTCAAAATTCCGAAAGTTTTGCCAAGTACAGCTAAGATTATCTATTCCTGTAGAAAATCTTTAGTATTTCGAATGATCTCAAAGTTTTGTTAAGTTATTTCATAATTGTCTTAAACGAGTATGTAAATTATTATTCAACAAATTTGTGAGCATTAAATCCAAATGAGCCTAAACGGAACAACAATTTACATAAACTTAAGGAGTTGCAGTCTTAAGTTTAATCAAACGAAAAATTATAGTTAAATGCAGAGACATATAATACAATATGTCTCTGTTAAATGTAATTTAAGCCTGCAATTACCGAATAGCTTACATTTGGTCGGATGGTGTCGTCTGGAACTGACTAGTTATTCAAGCACAGTTAAGTTTTAAATAATTCTCTCAAAATACATTTACTTCAGAAAGTCGTAAGTCGTGTTCGAATCAGCGTTTTATAAAACGACTATAATATATAAAATAGACTGGGACACAAAATTTTACATTACCCGATCTTTGATAGTAGTTACCAACTTGAAATTGAGTTTGGGCAATTAAAGAGAGACGAAAGGGACCAAATGGTTATTCAAACTCATTAGTCGAAGACAAACTGACAACGCCATGGCAAAAAAAATGAATATCGAGAAAAGACAAACAACAGTGACTTACTGTCTAAAAACACAACACAGAAAACTAAAGAATAAGCGGCAACGCGAACCCCACCAAACACTGAGGGTGATCTATGAACTAAAAATGTTAACTGTTCCCCAATATAACAACATCGTTATAATCATTTTTATATATATTATTCAGTAATAAATAGGAGGTAACGGAAGTATATATCACTTAAACTAAAAGATTATCAACCTAGAAATTATATACTGTTGTTTTGGGGAGGCTAATGTCCTGACGTTATCTTAAAGATGGTAATTGAAACACTTACAGGTAACAAGATATTGTAATTTGAATTTGGATATTATTGTTTTCGTAAATTTCGGTCATAAAGCTCTATGTGTTTTGGTTCGTAAACATCCTTGGTGTTCAAATATTCGGCTTTGAGCATTCCTGATGAAGGCAAATTCAGAAAGGCACTTTGGACGCATGAAATGTATAATGTCTTGTTTTCATCTTTCAAATTCCAATGGCTGAAATGTAGTAGTTGCCATTTCCTATACATCACTGGTTGTCTGAATCTTTCAATATATCCCCATTTCTGGATAGAATGGGTACATCCAATTTGTGGCTTGTTGTATGTTCAATGCTTTTGGTAACGGTTAGTGTATCCTAGCAACAAGTCTTTAAGGAGGCAGGCCTTGGTAACTCCAAAATTTTCCTCGTTTAATTTTTCTTATATTTACACAATTGATAGGGTAAGGGTCCATGCATCATCTGCTGAAGTCTTGTTGCAACTCACCTTTGCATTTTATGTTGAGGGTATATTGAATATGACAAGTTTTGGGGTACCCTTAACACGGTCGAAAACACTATTAGTCACATATGTGGACTGTTTGTGTTTGCAAGACAAAATTTAGAGCATTTTTCCTAGATACTCTTTGCTAGTGGCAGTCCATATTTCCTGCCCTTCATTCCAGTTGACCCACTTTTGCATATTCTTCTTATTGTTTTAACTGTTAATTTCTTCTCATCCTGAAAATGCATGGAATATTTCCCACTGGATTTTAGGCAAGCATTCAGCAATCTTGTCTCAACATGAGATCACCCACGGTTTTTGGTGGGGTTCGAGTCGCTCAGCCTTTATATTGAAAGTTTTCTATACTGTGTTTTGTATACTGTTCATTCATTTTGTTGCTTTTGCCTCTCTGTTTTTAAGAACAAAACTAACTTTTGATCTTTTTAATATCATTAAATGATTCATTATCACACATAACAAGGTGGTTTAAAATATACATGTTCTGACCATTGAAGTATCATATTGTCAACATAATACT